TGATGAAAGTCTCGAGTTTCTCCTCGATGGGGGACTGCCGCCAAAGATATCACTGAAGGGAGTAGATAAATCCTGGGTTGTGTGTTTGCTAGAACACTCTCTGAAGCATCGCTTCAGAGTAGCCGCTTCTGCTGAACTTCGGCCGGTTCGAGCGCCTTTTAGCGCAAGAGACGCTACTCAGTACGAGATGACATAGAGAATGTGATCAAAGATCCTGAACAATGAGCCTGGGGTTCCCAGGCTGGAAAAAACGCAAGATATGGGGTGAGTAAAGCTACCGGGGTCACAGCACTACAGTGATCCATATTATGTGCTAAGCTTTGTGATCGGGGCGCTGTGGCAGAGAGCATAGCATACTCAGTGTATCCATTTACCATGGCATAAAGCGCCACCAACGAGGTACATGCTGAAGAATAGTGTCTCGTTTGTTGCGGCTTGAGAGAACACATACGACGTTTAGTAGTTGATGGAATAAAGGAAGCTGAGATAGATGCCTCCCACGGTTCGATAGAGGATAGTAAGCGTTGAAGCACTAGAGATGAGGAGTTCCATTTATTCATCACATGAACCATCGCCAAATCATCGAGGAAACGATGGATTCTCACCGGTCCACTATCCTGGTAAGTAAAGTCGCAGGCTAGAATGGACTGTATGTCTGTCACTCCTTTGACGGCAGCTATGAATTCTAGAGTGTTAATGTTTTTTTATTCTAGGTGATCTTGCTGTCCAGGACAGCCTGTCCTTTGTTATCGTGCAATAAGAAACCACAGATTGCCACAATTTGGTATCGTCCAAGTTATGTAGATGGAACCACCACGTAGTGTCGTTCATAAAGAGGACGATTTGGCCGCTGTATTGACGTTTATCTCAGAAATGGCGCCTCCAAGGCCTTCCAACGAAGCGTCAGTAAAGACTACAGATTGTCGTGCTGTTCTAGCTGGAACAAGCAGACCCGGGAAGTTCCCGGCGGGAACGGCTGCAGTTCGTGGATGAAGAAGGCAATGCTGTTCCCAAAAGCTGTGCCTGGTCGGATAGATGTCAATCCATACTCGTTTGCAATCGATGCAAGGGGCAGGGATCGGATGACTTCCACTTGATGCATCTTTTGGCCCTTCCCCTCATCTTCCTCTCGACACTTCTCTCATATTGCAGGAAGGCATCTTCGCTCCGCTTGAACTTGAGCCTCATTTGACGGACCGCACGCATGCGCAGCTGGCACGCAATCGCAGAGCGATGGCGTTCAATTGCTCCACACAGTTGCGTTGTCGCAATATCCATGGCATGAGCATAGGTTTCCGGACACAGGACACATCAACGGTTAGGAAAGATACAACAGTTGCTTCCAAGTGCGCACAAGATTGTGAAAGCGCGCTGCATCTGAGCAATTTACTACTAACATCAGCATGAACTATTATCAAAGCCTAGCAGACAAATACTGCCGTTACTAAACATTTGGTCCATTCTTTTCATTTAACCATGACAGAGCGCTTATCCTCAATTACTGGATTATCGTGGCTGGTTACCTCCGTTCAGAAAAAAGAGGCAGCCTTAAAGATAGTTGGTGTCGCACTAGTTGTTGCTGCTGGGTTGAAGGTTATCAAGATAATGTGTACAAGAGCTCCTTTCCCTGGTCCTAGTGTAAGATGACTGCTATTGAACTCAACTAAATTGAACTA